AGAGACAAGGCCCCATCCATTTCACATTTATGTTTATGAATGCTAAATAAAGATTTTATGCAATATATATTAGTAAGCATTTGCGTAAAGTAGCACAGATAAAAGCTTAATATGAACTTAGTTGAGGCAAATAATAAACTTAAAATAAATATCTAGAAGCCAAAGAAATATACTCCAAATAAATCCGCAACAATAACCAGAATAGTTACGAAAGCTTTAAATTCATGCATGAAATAAGGAAAATGAAGAAGCGTTAAGTATCAAATTCCCATTCTCATTAATCAAGGAAACAAGATAAGATTCGGGTGCGGACGCGAGTTTAAACAGGCGCCAAAATCCAAGAAAATATTCCGGTTAAAATAAAAGGCTTTACTAGTAAGTTATGCATAGTTTACAACCAACGTACCATTCGCGACAGAGAGCAGGGTTGTTGAGGATAGTAGATACGACACGAGCTCCGTGTTGGGGTGGATTAGACCAGCACTGTCTGACAATAATCTTCAGTTGCGACTTGACCCGAGCTGTATCCTCTGCAGTTGATGTGACTATGACCAGATTACCGACACGTTCATCTAAAAAAGGAAAAAACGAAGACAGATAAAAACTAAAATAAATTGATTAAAGAAGAATAGTCAAAAAGATCTGGGAAGGTATAGCTTGAATGCAGACAAGAAATTAACCTTCAAACTTGCGAAATTTACAAAGTTGGCATAAGGTTCAGGAAAATAATGTCTTGCTCAACTCGCATCAATGGCGGGTAATTTTAAATCAATAAGCGATAATTTTTGTAAGAAGTTTAGTAGTTAAATCTCACTTATCAATTAAAAATAGATTATACTGGTGACAGTATAGCACAAAGTGAAGCATGTTTGTTTCCGGGCGCACTAACAAATCAGAAATAAGATGTATTGATAATATCTAGACTAGTATCAATAGCATATCAACAAAAATGAGTCATGAGAAGAGTAAGATTTCAAATAGTAAATCAAAGAAAAGAAAGTAAAACAGTAGGGTAACCTCAAGGGAAGAATTTTCTGAGGTTTTTAAAATAATTAGGCAGATAAATTCATTATCCTAAAGAGCATAAGGAAAATAGAATCCATAATTTAATACGCGTTTATTGTATAGAGTTGAAGGAATTGATGTAGCCTCTATCCACGATTAGTTAGGGACTGATATTGAATTTAAATTCCAGTTACTACCCATCAAAGGATGCGTTATCACTTAGAATAGATCTTACATAAAATATCATTTAAATCACTTAAGATTTCCAGGTGTGCATCAAGAAGTGGGCATGCGGTTTAATAGGCAATCGTAACGCACTATTGGCCAAGCAATCCTAGAAAAAATAGCTTATTAGACAAATTAGGCCCCTTCCAACCTCCGCATCGAAAGACAACTGTATCTCACCCTTCAGACTGATACTAACGCCCTCCGGATTCGTGGCACTATGCATTGTAAAATGTAATCAAACTTGGAGCAAACGTTGTATCAACTTAATAAATGTAACTATAGCCCCAATATCAACTTGACAATACATGTAATCAAATAGGCAGAACAGAATGATACAGTCCTTGAATAATGAATAATGGACTCGTGAGTAATCGCGTGAAAAATTCCAGGGTTTTTCGACTCAATCTACTGGAGAAAATTAGTTCAGCACTGAAGAAGTGAAAGCAAGCATTACATTATGGTAAGGCCAAAGTCCAAGTCTGCCTAGTTTGTGACAAGAACAAGCACCAAATTCAAGGCAAGAATATCTGCTACGAAGTCACATTTCGACAAAGACACATCGAGAAGGAAAGTACGCATTTGTAAATAAATTCGATTATTTAATGAACTTAAAGTATTGATGCCAATGTCTAAAATCTCAAGCAAGCGATCGTGCAATCGTCTGGTATTTTTGCCATCGCTCCTGACGTCAAAATAATAATCGGATTTTAACTTACCTTTTATTAGTTATCCCCGGAGCTTAGCAGACGAAATAAATGTACTGAATAGTCAGAATACTTTTTATTTCAGTACCGTTCTTTCGTAGCCTATCTGAGCATTTTGTTATGCCTCGTCCATATCATATTATAGCCTAAAAACAATATGCCTCAGTATTTAGTATACAAGCATTCCTACGGATATATGAAAACCAAGATGGTGGCCAAGAGAAAAAGAGATACTGCACAAGTTAGGACGAAAAATTGAGTCCAGAAGTGATGCCAAAACTGTTAAGCACAAAATTGGTCAAGAGGATTGCCTTCACTCGTCACTTTGGTATGTTTGATAAGCTAATGATAACGCCTCTAACTGACGATGCCAGTGAAACGTCTGGGAATGTTAAGTCAACGGTCGGATGCTGGAAATCATGAATACTATGGTAGGGGACCCAAAACTAGATACGTTCCACACAGTCTCCCTGCCACGAAAAAGAGGTCAACCCAACACTTATTTAGGATAGTTAAGTAATAACAAGCCAGCCATACTTAGCGACAAAAATAATTTTTATAAGAAAGAACAGTGGAAGCAAGGTTCTCCTAAAGTTGTGGTAGAACTAGTGCTCTTGCTTACGTTAAAAGCGCGTCAATCATTACTTGATCTTTTGAAGTCTATATTTGCGACTTGTTTGACAGCCTTTCTAAACCTCTCCTCAACACACTTTAGGCTCTCATATTGCAATGCTTTATAGTTTAGCTCCACTTACAAGTGGAGCCTATATTTCGTTTTTTGTCTCTGTCGCCTCACAACTCGGGTCTGTTTAATGCATCAAATTTCTAATAGTTCTTAAATTG